TGGTCGGAGGCGTCGACTCCCCTGGGATTCAGGAGACGGAGGCTTCTCCGTCAGGCTCGTATCCCGCCGTGAGCGCTGCGCTCCGTGTTGTGGGCGGTGGACGCCGTGCCTCGGGACGCGCGGGTGCGATCTGCGCCCTCTCCGTCCCGACTCTGCAGAGGCTAGGGACTTCGCGGGGGCTCTGCGAGGGGCGTCCGATTCCTGAGGTGCCTTTCCCCTCCTGGGAGGAGAGGGTAATAAGGTTCCGGCTACTTTCCTACTCGAAAAAGTAGAAATACTCGTTATTTAAGTAATATTTTAAAATATCTATCCGGGGTCCTAGCCCCGATTCCGTTAGTGGCTTCAGCGCTTCTTTGGTCCTCCAGTCCTTAATGCTGAAAAGAGCTCGCTTGGCTTTTTTCCCTGTGAGAGTAAGGCTGTGAACTACTCTTATCCGCGGGGTCGATATAACTGAGAGTCTGCCGTTTAAATGCCTTTCTTGTAAGTGCCCTGGAAAATAGGTACGAGGTTGTGTGTCGCATTTCAGATGTTCATTTGCCTTTCTTTCTACTTCATTATTTCAACTTGGGAAGATGTGTTTGATACACTAATCATTTTTTTAAAGATATCCTATTGTAATATTTGTAGTTTTGTTGAACTTTGAAACATGAATCCTTTGTTACAGATCGCTGCTGTAGAAGACAAACGAGTAAAGGTGTTTTCCCCTTTGCATCATGGCTCAGTTTGGAGGACAGAAGAATCCGCCATGGGCTACTCAGTTTACAGCCACTGCAGTATCACAACCAGGTCAGACTCCTGAAAGGGGGATACTGTTATAACAACAGATGTGCGTGCGTGGCATGGTAAAGTGTTTACAAATAACTTGTCCTGTATTTGTGAAAATCTTTTAAAAATTCACAGATCAACTAACAGTAAAGCTGTTTATCCACCAGTTTGGGCAGTTTGTCTTTTGCTGTTTGTGGTACTGGAAAGTGAAGCTAGGGCACTCTACCACTGAGCTATATATCCTGAGTTAGTTGTCCAGGCTGAATTCTAACTTGCTGTCCTCTTTTTTCAGCCTCCTGGAATGTTGGAATTAGGAGTCTGTACTACTATGCCCAGCTCATTTTTATATTTTGTAAACAGGGTCATGCTAAATTGCCCCCAAATTTGGGGTCCTTCTGGCTCAGCCTCCTTTGTAACTGCGATTACAAGTATGAAAAGCAGCAGCTTTATAGTTTTTACATTTCATAAGTTGATTCAGCTTTTAAATTTTATTTAACTGGTAGAGTATCTTTATGTGTGTAGCTCAGGTTAGAACCTAAGTGCTCTTACCCCCCCTGCCTTGGGGCTGGGTTTTGAACCTAGTGTGTGTACTGCCTTTGAGCTACATTCTCAGCACTAGATAGAGCATTTTATTTGACATTTTAAGTAGTCAGTATTCAAAGATGTTTAAAAGTAAGGTACAGTGGTACCTTGGTTCATGAGTGCTTTTGTTTGCAAACAGTTTGGTTTGTAAACTGCATCAGGTGACAAACACTGCTGCAACCATCTTTTCCATAATTGTGGAACAAATTGTTTGCGAACCAGGGTATCACTGTATTGAAAAGCCATACTTTATGAAAACCTGTATATTACTGTGGATTTTGTTTGGAAGTAGAAAGTTTGGTTGTTGGTGTTTTGTTTTGTTTTCGTTTCTTGAGACAGGATCTTATTCAGGCTTCTTTTGAACTCACAGCCAGGCAGACCTCCAACTCCAGGTGATTTGCCCGCTTGGGTCTCCTGAGTGCTGGGATTACAGGCAGACACCACTAGCTAGTTGTTCAAAGTAGAAAAGCCAACTCTGAAGAATTTAATTACTAACTGAAAGAAAAAGATAAGTAGCTATAGAAGCAGTAAATGAACATTAACCATTAACATTTTCAAAATAAAGTTAGCAGAATGTTTTCTTTCTTTCCTTTTTTTTTCGTACTGGGGATGGAATTCAGGACTTTATTTTTGTTTTTTGAGACAGGGTTTCACTTTGTAGTTCAGGCCGTCCCTGAACTCACTATGTAGCTCAGACTGACTTTGAACTCATGGTGACTCTCCTGTCTCATTCTCCCCAGGTGCTGTGATTACAGGGGTGTATCATCCTGCCTGGCTAGCAGAATGTTTTCAAATTAAAGTCAGTGAAAAATATTAAACTGTTTTAGCATACATCTTCCCTTTTGGTACTGGGTTTCCCCATTTTTATTAGGAAGAAAAGCTTTTCACCATTTTTTGACTGTTGGTTGAATCTTGAAATAACTCTCTCTGTCTTTCTCTTTTTTGTGGTAACTAGAGCTACAACCCAGAACTTTCTGAATGCTAAGTAAACATTTCAGCAGTGAGCTATTTCTGCAGCAGTTTGTTTGTTTTTGAGGCGAGGTCTCACTTTATAGCCCAGGCTGGCCTCTTACAGAGATCCTCCTGCCTCTGCCTACCAAGTGTTGGGATTACAGGAATGCACCACCACGCCCAGCCACTGCCGCTTTTTTTTAAATTTTTAAATCCCAGTGCCTTTGCACTGATCTATATTCTCAGCCCTTTTTTATTTTGGGGCAAAGTCTTACTAAGTCTCTTGAGTTACAAGGCCGTGCTCAAATTTAGGAACCTCCTGCCCCAGCCTTCTAGAGTGCTGTGATTACAGTCATGTATGTCATCATGCCTAATTTATTTTATTAATGTATTTATTTATTTGTTTTTTTTCTGAGACAGGGTCTCACTGTGTAGTTGAGACTGACCTGGAACTCACTGTGTAGCCCAGGCTGGTCTCGAACTCACAGTGATCCTCCTGCATCGGCCTCCTGAGTGCTGGGATTACAGGTGTGTGCCACTGTGCCCAGCTGCCTAGTTTTGTTTTTTTCTTTTTTTTTTTTGCGATTCAAAGATTTACTAAGTTACTCTATGCATTCTACCTATACAGAAACACCTAGGCCTAGTTTATTTTTTAATTGGAGATGGGATCTCTGTAAGTCACTAAGTTGCCTGGGCTGGGTTTAAACTTTGATCCTCCTGCATCTGCTTCCTGAGTAGCTAGTTTAGCAGTTCTGTGCTCCTACACTTGACTTTTATTTTACCCTTGAGGAATTAAAGGTTAATAGATTAGTCAACTGAAAGTAATATAAACTAGTTATTTTCTGTCATATTTTAGGGTTTTTTGTTTTGTTTTGTCTTGTTTTTGAGATAGGGTCTAGGTGTGTAGTTCAGGCTGGCCTGGAACTCAAGATGATTCTCCTGTCTCAGCCCCCAAGTGCTGGGAGTATAGGGCTGTGCCACTTAGATCATATATATATATATATATATATATATATGGGTTATATTTAATTTACATCCATTTATTTCTTTTCTATGTTAAGTAATAGGAAAACTAAATGACTTAACTTTGATGAAATAGGAACTATTAGCACCTATTGTGTGTCCAGAACCACATCCTTCTGTATTCTGTATTCATCTGTACTAAGCATGTTTTAACTGGCTTTTACTGTACAGTATTTATTTTCACTTTGTATCATTAGTGTAACAATAACATAGCTGTTATGGTAGAATTCTAATAATCTATACTTAGAATTTACATTGTACTTCTTTGAAAGTGTGCTACATACTTACATGTTTTTGTGGTACTAGATATGAAACCCAGTGGTGCTGTACCACTGAACTACATCCCAACTCCTTTTCTGTTTTTTTGTTTTGTTTTGGTACCAGAGATCGAACACCGGTCCTTGTGCTTGTGAGGCAGGCAGCAGAACCACTGAGTAAATCCCCCCCCCCTTTTTTTTTGTACCAGGGATTGAACTCAGGCCCTTGCCCTTATGAGGCAGAGGCAGGCGGCAGAATCACTGAGTCAAATACCCGGCCTCCAAGTCCTTTTTATTTTAGTCTAAAGTGGGATCTTGATAAGTTGTTCAGAATTACCTTGAGCTTGTGGTTCTCCTGTCTCAGCAAAAAGTCCAGAATTACAAACTTTATGCAAGTGGGTGGGAGAACAGGATCTTGGCCTTGAACTGTGGCAGCCTTCCAAGTGCCAGACCTTTTTTTTTTAATTTTAAGGTTGACCAGAGAAGCACCAAAAGTTTATAAATATTAAAGATGGTAAGTAGCAAATAAAGGCCTCTTTTTTCTTTCTTTTTTTTTTTTTTTTTCGTTTCGTTTTGTTTTGTACCAGGGATCAAACTTGGGCCCTTGCACATGCGAGGCAGGCAGCAGAACCACTGAGCTAAATCCCCGGCCCTGTTTTGTTTTTTTGAGACAGGGTCTCACTATGTAGTTGAGACTGGCCTGGAACTCACTATGTTGCCCAGGCCGGTCTCAAACTCACAGCAATCCTCCTGCCTCAGCCTCCTGAGTGCTGGGATTACAGGTGTGCGCAACCACACCCATAAAGGTCTCTTCTTTCTATATTTGGCAATAGAGATTCCAAATGTATGTAATGGGGCTTTTGAGATTTTAAAATTTTTACCCAAATCCCTGGAACCAAAAAAATAAATAAAAATAAAAATTTTATTAGTACATGTTTGCAATACATAATGATTACATTCATCGTGTGGAATTGATACATGTATATAACACATCTGAATTCTTTTCCTCTTCCCCTGTAATGGGATTTTCTAAACAGAGTTTATATTTTGATACATGTATATAACACATCTTAATTCTTTTCCTCTTCCCCTATAATGGGTTTTTCTAAACATCTTATATTTGTGATGTTTGAAATTGTTTATGAATATTTATGGGCATATAAATCAGAATGTCTCAATCTAAAGCTTTGCTGATACTTTAGTAACTAGACAGGTGTTTTTTAAGTATCTTAATTTGGTTTTCCTTTAAAAATCATGAAATAGATTATAAATGGAGTTCTCCAGTGATAATTGTTTTGAATAAAGTACCTATTTCCCGGGTGCTTTGATTTAGACTGCTTGAATGTTTGATTAACTTTTTTGCCTTCTTTGTTTTTGTGGTTTTTTGTGGGATTTATTTATATATTTTTGGTACTAGGGTTTCAGACCATGGAGTGATAAGATTCCTTTTGGGGGGGGGTACTGGGATCAAACTCAGGAATTTGCACTTTCAAGGCAGGTGCAGTACCACTGAGCTACATCTCCAGCCCTCCCGTTTTAAAATTTTTAATTTTTCGGGCTGGGGATGTAGCTCCGTGGTTCCACCACCTGCTTTGTAAGCAGAAGGGCCCAAGTTCAATCCCCGGTACAAAAAAAAAAAAAAAAAAAGCACCTATTTAAAATTTTTAATTTTTCTTTGCTTTTTTTTGGTTTTTTGAGACAGTGTCTCACTATGTAGTTGAGACTGACCTGGAACTCACTGTGTAGCCCAGGCTGGTTTTGAACTCACAGCAACCCTCCCACCTCAGCCTCTCCTGAGTGCTGGGATTACAGGCATGCACCAGCATGCCCAGCTTAATTTTTCTTTGGAGACCAGATCTAGTTAAGTTGCCTAGCTCAAATTTATGTTCTCAAACTTGGTACACATGGTGTTTTGTTTCGTTTTGTTTTGTTTGGTGCCAGGGATTGAACTTGGGACCTTTGCTTGCAAGGCAGGCAGTGGAACTACTGAGCTAAATTATTGGCCCAATTTGCTATATATACTCTTTTTTTTAGTCCTCCCGAGTACTAGGATTACGGGCATGTACCACCTTAACCTGGTTTTGCCTTTCCATAAGAACTTTTGACTCATTATCTCAGTATTAGAGTTATTTCTCAGAATCAAGCAAATTTTGTCAAAGCCCCCACTCCACCTCTGTTAGATACATAGTATTTATACCTAATCCCAAGAAAGAACATTAAAAAAATATTTTAAAGTTGTATGAAGTCTAAACTAGATTTAATTCCTCTCTCTAACCAGTGAGGAAACAAACTCAGAAAGGTGAACAGATTTATTTTTCATAATACTAGGGTTTGTTTGTTTATTTGTTTTGGTTCCTGTGATCGAACTCAGGGCCTTGTGCTTTTGAGGAAGGGCAGGTGATGGCACCACTGATCTAAATCCCTGGCCCATAATACTAGGGTTTGAATCCAGGGCCTTCATACTGAGCTACATTCCCAGTCCTTATTTGTTTATTTTTAAATTTTGAGTCAAATCTCATGAAGTAGCTAAGTAGCCCAGGCTGGGCTTGAACTTGCTATCCTCCTGCCTTTATCTCTTAGAGTTCTAGGACTTAAAAGTGTGTGCCTCCATATCCAGTGTAGGTGAACAAATTTATTTGTCAAACAGTAGAGTCCATTAAAGATGGGAAAGGTCATAGGACATTAGGAATGTTATCTTCAGCAGTCTGACAAGATTGACTAACGATGAACTGAGTTGTAGGTAAAGGAAGCTATACGTAGGAGCATTAGTAATCACTTCTAGAGAACTTACAGAGAGTGGAAGAGCAGTTTTCTGATTTGACATTATCTTTGTTTCCCCCATTTTTTGAGTTGTGTCTTGCTGTATTACCCAGGCTATTCTTTATTTTTTGGAGACAGGGTCTCACTATGTAGTTCAGACTGCTCTGGAACGCAGCCCAGGCTGGTCTCCAACTAGCAGCAATCCTCTTCTCTCAGCCTCCTGAGTGCTGGGATTACAGGTGTGTACCACCACGCCTGGCTTACCCAGGCTATTCTTGAAACTGTAATCCTCAAGTAATCCTCCTGCCTCAGCTTCCAGCAGCATTGAGCCACCATGACCAGTTTAGGATGTTTGTTTGTTTGTTTGTTTATTTATCTCATAAGGTAGTTCAGGTTGACTTTGAATTTACTGTGTAGCCCATGCTGACCACAAACTCATGGTGATCTTCCTGCCTCAGGCTCTTGAGTGCTAGGATTACAGGTGTGTACCACCACACCTGGCAGGCCATTATGTTTATTGAGACTGAAAGAACCATATATAAGCTGGACCTATACCACACATCCATAATTCCAAAAAATTTGGCGGCTGAGGCAGGCAGACAATAAGTTTGAGGCCAGCCCTGGAAACTTAATGAAACCTTATTCCAAAATTTAAAAATGAAAAGTGCTGGCAGAGTATCAGAGTACTTTCTGGGTTCAGTCTCTTTTACCACTAAAGAGAAAAAAAGATGGACATGGTGGCACATGTTTGTGGTCCCAGCACTTTAGGGGGTCGAGGCATCTGTCTGAGCAACTTTGTAAGACCTTATTTCAAAAAAGAGGTTGGTGGTGGGGAGGTAGCTATGTGAGGGCTGGGGCTTCACTCTTAATTACTTAAAAGGAAAAAATACTCTATACTGATTTTAATTAAGAGTTTGCATTTTCCTTACAAAATACTATTGTCCAGGTGGGCGTGGTGGTACAGACCTGTAGTTCCAGCAGGCTGAAGCAGGAAGATCTCTGGGAGTGAGAGCAGCCTGGGCTACATAGTGAGTTCAAGACCAGTCTGAACTACATAGCCAGACCCTGTCTCAACAGAAAAAAACAAACACATTGTCCAAGAAATAGATAGGATGCTGAGGCAGGATGGTTGTGAGTTCCATATGGAGGTTCACAAACCTCCATACCCTAACTCCAAAAAGTTGTGTGTGGGTGGGGGTTACTGGGGGATATAGCTTAGTGTTATTCATGGAGTGCACACATATGAGAGGGTCTAGGTTTATTCCCCAGTACCGAAGGGGAAGAAGAATTGTGATGATGGACATGTTCTGTGTCTATATTGTCTAATACATACCACCCCCTACTCCCACCCTACTCTGTTCTGGGGATTGAACCCAGCACCTTTGCAGTGAGCTACATTTCCTGCTAAATTCCCTAGGCCTAGGTGGAATTTCAGGTACTTCTACCTCAGCTTGTTAAAGTGCTAGGATTATAAGCTTGCACTACCACATCTGGTTTATTGTTTATTTTTTTTTTATTTTGGCTTTTTGATATAAGTTTGCTATGTAGTTCAGCTTGGCCTTGAACCATGTAGCCCAGGTTGACCTGGAACTGGCTGCCATTTGCTTTAGCCTCCCCAGTGCTGGGATTACCAGCATGCACACCACGCCCTGTTTTATTGCTTTCTGGGTTTTTTTTTTGGCCGGGTGGGGGGGTGGAACCTGAAATCGAACTCAGGGCCTTGTACTTGCTAGGCTTTGGCTGCATCATTGAGCTACATCCCTGGCTATTGTTTTTTTGTTGTTGTTTTTGTTTTTTGTGGTACCGGGGATTGAACTTGGGTCCTTGTGCTTATTGTTTATTTTTGAAATGGCGTCTAAGTCACCAAACTGCTGCGTCTGCATTCAAATTTGTGATCTGCCCCAGGTTTCCTAGAATCCTGGGAGTACAGGTGTGCACTGTACCTGTTCATTGTGTTTTTTATTTTTATTATTGTTATCATAGTACTGGAGATCAAACTCAGGACCTTGTACTTTTGAGGAAGATGGTGGCACCACTGAGCTAAATCCCTGGCTTTTTTTTGAGACGGGTAGTAGTATGTGGTAGACATTATGTAGTTCAAACTAGCCTTGAACTCACTAAGTAGCCCAGGCTGGCCCTGAACTCATGGCAGTCCTTCTGCCTCAGCCTCCCAAGTACTGGATTATAGGTATAATCCCCACCTGGCTTGGTGGTTTTTATTTTTTCCATACTGGCTATTGAACCTGAATCCATGGCCACTTTACTGATCTACATCTCTAGTCTTTTTAACATTTTTTTTGTTTTGAGACAAGGTCTTACTAACTCTCTTTGTGATGTTCAGGAGGGCCTGGAATTAGTCTCCCTGCTGGAGGCATTGAACCACCAGTGGTACGTGCCTGACTGTACCATTGGGTGGCTTTATAAAAAGCCTGATAAAAGTGATTGGATGTTTGTCCCACCAGTGGTACAAGCCACCCCATGGGACACTTTTGCCTATACCACTCACTGGTGGTTCAAGCTGGGGGAGAACAATAACTTGCTAATGTTGGGCTTGACTTATGATCCTTCTGCCTCAATCTCCTTAAGTCTTAGAATTTCAGGTGTATGCCGCCATGCCTGACTCTCACTATAGTTAATTTGCATTATCTCCTTGATGACTGATTATGTTTTGTTTTTTCATAGACGAGTTGGTCATTTTTATCCTTTGCCTATTTTGATCAGATTATGTTTTCTTAGTATTTTCATTCCTCATATATTTTGGGTATTATTAATCCATAATGAGATAAATACCTTATCCTTTTCCGTTGGTTTACTGTTAATTCTTTCCTTTAATGTACTTAGACACTTTTGTGTGTGTGTGGTACCGAGATTGAACTCCGGACATTGCGCTTGTAAGGCAGATGTAGCACCACTGAGCTAAATCCCCAGCCTTAAACTTTTTAATTTTATGTGACTCCAGTTGTCTAACCTTTCTTTTGCTGCTAAATTTTATAATTTTGGAGGGTGATATTACAGATTAAATTTAGGGAATACTGTACTACATCCTTAGCCTTTCTTATTTTTTTATTTTGAGACAATACTTCAGTTTTCCAGGCTGGACTCTCATTTGCAGTCTTCCTGCTCTGCCTCCCAAGTAGCTGTGTGCCCTACCACACCTGTCCCAAGTTTTGTAATTCTTGCCTGCAAAATAGTAGTGTTTAAAAATTTTGTCCAGTAGAAAGTTTCAAGGATACGTTACTTCCAGCAACACTGTCTTTAATGTGTTTTTCCTCTACTTACAGATACACCAGTAAATTCTACCTTTTTTTCGAGCACTGACGATGGAATGTATGGCTTGGTACATGCTAAGCAAGTACTCTACCACTGAGCTACATTCTCAGTCCAAAACAATATATTCCAGAGTAGTAAGCTAATTTTTGTTAGTTAGGTATTTTGTTTTGTTTTTTAATGGTACTGGGGATTGAACTCGGGCTCTTGAGATTGCGAGGCAAGCGGTGGAACCACTGAGCCAAATACCCGGCCCTTTTTTTGGCTTTTTTGAGACAAGGTCTCGCTGTGTGGTTCAGGCAGTCCTTGAATTCACTGTATATCCAAGGCTGGCCTTTAACTTGCAGTGAACCTCCTGCCTTAGCCTTCATAGTGCTGAGATGTGTGTGCATCACCTTGCCTGGCTGAAAATAAGCTAATTTGTTTTCTATCTTTCTTCCTAAAAATACTTACTGAGTATTGTCGCCTTTTAGTTTAGGTAAGTTAGACTGAGTTTACTGTTGAATTTAATTTTATGAAATACTATTGTGTTTTGTTTTATTTATTTATTTATTTTTGGTAACAGAGATCAAACTCAGGTCCCTGCGCTTGCAAAGCAGGCGCTGGAACCACCGAGCTAAATCCCGGGCTGAAATAGTATTGTATACCATACTTTAAACATTTACTGTAAAATCATTGGGATCTGGAGGGATATAAAAACAGTAAAATTCGAACAAACATTATTGAAATTGTTCTTTGAGATTTGAAATATATAACAACAACCATGATGCTTAATTAAGCACTCAAAATGTTTCTGGAAGAGATGGAAGTAATTTTGATGTTTTTTTCTTTGTTTTTAATCTCATTTTAGCTGCACTGGGTGTTCAGCAGCCATCTCTTCTTGGAGCATCTCCTACCCTTTATACACAGCAAACTGCATTGGCGGCCGCAGGCCTTACCACACAGACGCCAGCAAACTATCAGTTAACACAGACTGCAGCATTGCAGCAACAGGCTGCAGCTGCAGCAGCTGCATTGCAACAGGTGAATTCATGGTGTTTTTTTTTTTTAATTAAGCACATTTTCAGTATGTAATAATTACATGTATTGTGGAAATTTGGTATTTGTATGTAACACATGAATTTATAGGTTTTAATATATGACATGTCTGTAAAATCTGTTTAGATAGTTCGCTCTTTCCTCTTTTTAAAGCATGAAGAAAAGTGGAATTTGTCATATTTTTTTCTGGTAGTTAAAAATTACAGTGTATGAGATTCCACCTCACCCCACAAAGAATGGCTACTATCAAGAAATCAACCAGTAACAAATGTTGGTGGGGTGGTGGGAAGAAAGGAACCCTTCTCCATTGTTGGTGGGAGTGCAGACTGGTGCAACCACTATGTAATCAATATGGAGATACCTCACAGAGCTGGAACTAGAGATTCCATTTGACCCAGTCATCCCTCTGCTGGTATCTTTCCAAAAGAATTAAAAGAATCATTCCATAGTGATTTATGTGCACCCATTTTTATAGCAGCACAGTTTGTAATAGCTAAAACTTGGAAACAGCCCATTTGCCCATCAGTTGGAAACTGGATAAAGAAGATGTGGTTTTTCTATAAAATGGAATACTACTCAGCCATAAAGAATGAGAAATTAGATTCATTCATAGGTAAATGGATACATATTGAGGATATACGCCTAAGTGAAATAAGTCACACATGTGTAAATACCAAATAGTTTCTCCGGTGTGAAAAACTAATATAATAGTACATAAGATCCTAATGAGATAACTGACAATGTGAAATAGGAAGAAAAGGGCTAAAGGTGTAGGGAAAGTGGGAAGGGTAGGGGAAAGAAAGGCAATAAGGGAAAAGAAAAAAATACGAGAATATGAGAAAATGAAAAAGTGGAAATGAAGTGTTTGTAAATGGGGAAGGGAGGAGGGGGTGAAGGGAGGGCAGGGACAAGGGGAAAAAAATGAGAACCAAGACCTGTCATATAAAGGTACAAGATCCCAATAATGAATGTAACTGTGCTGTATACCGAAAATGTACCAATAAACTCAATTTTTAAAAATTATACTGTATATGCCCAGTACATAGATAAGTATACTTGCACAGTCTTAAAGAAGACAATTCTTATAAATAATTTGAGTAAAATTCAGTTCTTGATGGTTCCAGATATAAGTAATTATTTTATTTTAGATATTTAGCTGTTCTACAAAGTTTCAGTGTAATTTTGACTCTTTATATGGATGTGTACCACTTTTTTAAGAGTGAATAAAACTAATATCTGTATTTTGCTTTGCATAATGTGTTTTTTTTTTTAATCTTTCAGCAATATTCACAACCTCAGCAGGCCTTGTATAGTGTTCAGCAACAGGTTAGTTTATATTTTTCATGTTAAAACTGATTTTGTGTGTGTTTTTGTGGGGTTTTCGGTTTTTCTTGTCATTTTGAGGCAAGTACTCCACCATTAAACTATAACACTAGCGGTTTTGGTATTTTGAGACAGGGTCTACCATGTAACCCAGGCTGGGCTCAAACTCGCAGCAATCCTTTCACTTCAGTCTTGTGAATGTTGGGATTACAGTTATGTGCCACAATACCTGGCTAAAACCTGATTTTTAAATAGTCATTTGTTTCAAAATTTAAACCTGATACAGGTTTTTCTTCCCATAAGCTACAATAGTATATGATTTGAAGTTTTTTAGAGGGGATAAAGGATAGGAATAGAGTAAAAGGAATTACCCCGAAAGGAGAGGGAAGTAGGAGGGCAGCCCTAAAATCCTGTGTCTTGGACAAGTTGCTAGAATTTTCACATGCTATTATCTCTCTTTTTTGTTGGTTTTTTGTGACAGGGTTTCACTAAGTAATTGAGACTGACCTGGAACTCATTGTGTAGCCCAGGCTGGTCTCGAACTCACAGTGATCCTCCTCCCTCAGCCTCCGGAATGCTGGGATTACAGGCTTGAGCCACCACGCCTGGCAACATACTATTATTATCTCTAAGAAAGCCTGCTGAAGATAATCTGGAGAAAGACATTCTGAGTCTTTGGGCCTCTACATCTACTCTGCTGAATTAGAGTTCAAGTGAAAGTGAAAGGCTTCTTTTCCCATTTTGAAGCCTAATTTTTTTGTAGGCCACTTCCTTTCAGCCTTTGTTTTTTAGTAGAACACTTTTTTCGCTTTTCTAATTATATATAAAAACTCAATATAAAAAATAATGGAATAGAGCTGTTAAAAAGAGGAGGAAGAACTCTTATAGTTCACCTCCCCATTCTCATGGCACTTTTGAACAATTTGAAAACTCCTGAGGTGTAAAGCAAATTTCTTTGACATCTCTCCCTTAGATTCAGCCTCCAGTCATTCTCTCAGGTTCTTCCATCCATGAGTTAGGAAGAGATAAGAACAACCCAAAGACAAGATTGTCTAGGAAAAGATGGTTTGCCCTGCTAAAATTTAGATAGCTTCTGGTCTAAGCACCCAACCTGGTCTTGTCTGTGTCTAGGAAATAATGTTGAGTCTGCCTCGGTACCATTAAAAAGTTTTTAAGAGGGCCGGGGATTTAGCTCAGTGGTTCGGTGACCTGCCTTGCAAGCGCAAGGACCCGAGTTCAATCCCCGGTACCAAAAAAAAAAAACCCAAAAAAGTTTTTAAGAGGGCCGGGGATTTAGCTCAGTGGTTCGGTGACCTGCCTTGCAAGCGCAAGGACCCGAGTTCAATCCCCGGTACCAAAAAAAAAAAACCCAAAAAAGTTTTTAAGAGCTCCATGTACTGGTGCTTGCCTGTAATCAGAACTGTGTGGGAGGCTAAAGGAAGATAAAAATGCTAGGCCATCCTGGGCAACATAGCAAGACCCTGTCTCAAAATGAAAACATTTTTTAAAATAATCTGTGAGGGGCTGGGGATTTACCGCAGTGGCACAGTTCTTGCCTAGCAAATGCAAAGCCTTGGATTCTGTCCTCGGCACCAGAAATTAAAAAGACAAAACATGGGCCATGAGTGCTGGGCATGTTGGCTAATGCCTAAAAGCCCAGTACTCAGGAGGCTGAGACGAGAATGGCCTCAAGTTTGAGGCCAACCTGGGGCACATAGTGAGTTAAGGACTGGTCTGAATTACACAGGGAGATCCTTTCTCAAAAAGACAAAAACAAACCAAAAATGAGCTGTGAACCTGGTGTGGGTGTACACACCTGTAATCCCAGCACTTGGAAGACAGGAAGATCTCTGTGATTGATTTCAGGGCAGAGCCTGGGCTACAGAGTGAGATCCTGTCTCAATCAAAACATAAAGTGTGTGTGGGTCAGGCTGTGGTCGTAGAACAATAGTATTTTCTCTAGCATACATGAGGCCTAGGGCTCAATCCCCTGCATCATAAAACACATGTTACTGATCCAAAAACACAACAATAGTCAGGATAGGAAAAAAGAATATAAGAGAAAGACCAGAAACTGGGCCCGAAGGTAGCGTGGAGGAACATGAGGCTTAAGTGCTGTGGGGCTTCAGAACCCTTTCATTATCTCTGAAGATTATAGTATTGAGTAATTTCAAGTAATTACTTTAGGTGCCAGGGATTTAGCTCAGTGATGCTGCTGCCTGCTTCACAAGTGCAAGGTCCTGAATTTGATTCCCAGTACTAAATAAGTAATTACTGTAAATTTCTGAAAACTGGCAACTGATCTAAAACTTGCTCTTTTTTGTAGGGATTTTGGTTTTGTCTTGATTTTGGTACTGGGGATTGAACCCATGTCTGTCTGTCTTCCACATTGAGCTATATCCCCAGATGCCCCCCCTCCCTTTTTTTAATCTTGGGACATGGGCCAGGGATTTAGCTCAGCGGTTCAGTGGCCTGCCTTGCAAGTGCAAGGACCCGAGTTCAATCCCTGGTACCAAAAAAAAAAAAAAAAATCTTGGGACAGGTCTGGTTAATTTGCCTAGGCTGGGCTCATATTTGCAGTCCTCCTGCCTTAACCACCTAGAATGCTGAGATTGCAGAGATGTGATGTCATACTTGGCTTCAGCTGTCTTGTTTATTTCAAAATATTTTCAGAGCCCTGGGAGGTGTGGTGTTAGAGCACTTGTCTATCATGTGAGAGGCTCTAGTTTCACTCCCCAGTGTCAGAAAAAAAATATCAAAAAACCCTCAAACTCATACTTTAAAAACATTTTTGTATGTTTGTAGTATGGTTATATTCATCATGGGGAATTGGTACATGTACATAATACATCTTTTTTTCTTTTTCTTTTTTGTTCTGGGAGTTCAAACTCAGGACCTTGTGCTTTTGAAGCGGGTGTGGTGCCATTGAGCTAAATTCCCGGACCACGTAATACTTCCCCCTTTCCATCTCTAGATCTGCTTCCCATTTGCAAAATAATCATCTACTGGTTTCCTATTATCTCTCTTTTACTCTATTTATATTTTGGAATTCCTGTGTAAGAGGAAACCAGGTGATACTTAAACTGGTGTACCTGATTTACTTCATTTACTGTCTCAAGGTGCATCTATTTTCTAACAAATGATTCAGATTTATCCTTTATAGCAGAGTAGTACTTTATTATGTTTAAATACCACATTTTCTTTATCCGTTCAACTTTTGATGAGCATATAGACAGACAGCTTGTAATATCTAGCTTTAATGAGTATCCCTATAATATGTCTCTAACTCTTTTAGGAAGTTAACTAGATTTGATCCCTGGTACAAAAAATGAGGATTTTACCTAGAAGAGGAATAGCTGGGTGAAATGGAATTTCTAGTTTTAGTTTTTCATGAATCTCCATACAGATTTTTATAGTGCTTGTACTAGTTTGCACTCCCACCAACAATGTAGAAGCCTTCCTTTTTCCCCATAACTTCTTCAATATCTATTATTATTTGATTTTGAGGGAGGTACTAGAGATAGAACTCAGGATCTTGCTGTTGAGAGGCAGGTGCAGCACCACTGAACTAAATCTCCAGCCATTTGATTTCTTGATGGTGACCATTTTTTCTAGAGTAAGATGTAGACACATTGAACCACATGAAAATAGTACTACTCAAATATTACGGAAATAGTTGATTTTTGTTTTTCTTTTGTGTTACTGATATTTGTATCACCTTTTTTTGGCTTTTTGGTTTTTTTTCTTTGGTACCAGGGATCGAACTCGGGACCTTGTGCTTGCAAAGCAGGTGGCAGAACCACTGAGCTAAATTCCCAGCCCTTATGTTACTGATACTTGAACCAAGTGCCTTCACACTGAATCTACATCCTAGGCCCTTTTTTCTTTCTTTTACCTTTTCTTTTAAATTAGTATATAGGGACATGGTTTCATTATGTTACCCAGGCTGGGCTCAAATGGAGATCTTCCTGTCTCAGCCTCCCAGAGGATTGGGGTTACAGGTGAACCACCACCATGCCCAGTTAGAAAAATAGTATTTTGATAAGATTCAACCTCTGGGCGGGGTGTGGTGGCACAAGCCTATAATAGCACTAAAAGCAGAGGCAGGAGGATCCAGCGAGCTGGAGGCCAGCATGAACTATATAGGGAGACCTGTGTCTCCAAATCAAAAAAACTTCAACCTCTAATACATAGTGATATTGCATAAGCTGAGTATTTTAGTTAGAACCTTATATATAAATTCTGTAATCCTCACTTATGTCCAGTTTATACACCAAGTTTGTAAGCCTCTTCGCTCGTTTCTTTTCTGCAAAAGAGTTGCTGTTGCCTGAGAATCCTTGTCAGAGTGTATGGTTCTTCCTGGTGAGCACTTCAGTGGTAAATCTGACCATTAGGAGAAGTTTTCATTTTAGACATATTGCTTGCTTGCTTGCTTGCTTCCTTTCTTTCTTTCTGACAGGGTCTCACTATGTAGTTGAGACTCCCTGGAACTCACTATGTAGCCCAGGCTGGTATCAACTCACAGCTATTCTCCTGCCTCAGCCTCCGGAGTGCTGGGATTACAGGCTACAGGCGTGAGCCACCGCACCCAGCTTGGGTGTTTTATTCTTGTAAACAAAAAAGTCAAACAAAAAGCTGAGTGCATTGATACACACATGTAATCCTAGCATTTGGGGAGACTGAGGCATGAAATTCAAGGCCAGCATGTGATGGGCTACCTATTGAGTTCAAGGACATCCTGAAATACAGAATGAGATTCTCTCACAAACAACAAAGCAGTCAATTACTAAACCAGATACATTGGCACACACCTGTAATCTGAGCACTTAGGAGGCTGGGGCAAGAGACAAGCTGTAGACAACATACTGAGCTCAAGCCTAACTTCCACTACATAGCAAAACTCCTGGTGTGGTGGCACATGCCTGTAATCCCAGTACTTTGGAGAGTGAAGCAGAAGGATTGTGACTCAAGCCTGACTTGGACAACTTAATGAGGTTCCAGCTCAAAAAAAGGGAAAGAAATTGGATTTTATTATTTTTAAAAATTGTAGCTAAGTGCCTATTATTTAATGAGTTATCTATATATCGTATCATTTAGTATAAGTACCTACTCTTTGTAGGTTACCTTACACCAAATGATGTGTTACATTTTAGATTTTTCTTAAAATTAAAGTTATGTGTAATAGGAACTTTTCCTTTTATTAAGCATCTGGAACAATAACTGATCCTTTTGTGTTTTTATGTTTTGTTTTCTTTTTGTTTTGTTTTTTTGGCCTATTTTCAGTTACAGCAACCCCAGCAGACCCTTTTAACACAGGTTAGTATGGCATTACATTATTTCTTTTAGATATCCAAATGAAGAGCAAATAAAGTTTTATTTGTAGGGATTTTTTTTAGCATATAGATACTGAATTTTTTTGTACTATTACAATTAAGACATAGTTCAATTAGAAGTCTTCTTTAGGGAATTACGCAGTCATTTTTGTGGTTATTTCTTATCTTAGCACGTGGTTCATGCTTTTCACCCCTTAGGAGGCTAAGACAGGAGGATTGTGAGGTCAAGGCCAGCCAGGGCTAAAAATTTAGTGAGACCGTATCTCGAAATAAAAATATAGCAGGGGCTATAGCTCAGTGCAAGGATCTAGGTTAAGTTTCCAATAATGCCCCACCCCATCATGAAACAGTATTTGTAGTAATTTAGCATTGTGTTGCTAAATAAAAATGGAACATGCATCTGTTTATATATTTTGATTGCAGTTCTGTAGGTTGTCTCATTTTAATGCAGATATTTTTTATTTTCTTTACATTTGATAGAGGATGCTAGGCATTGAGCTCAGGGCCCTTCTCATGCTTGGTAAGCACTCTACTACTGAGCTGTGGTCCTAGCCCTCTTTATAGCCAGCATTTTGGAAAATTGTTCATACTCATTTTTCTTTTTTCTCTCTTTTTTTTTGGTACTGGGGATAGAACGTGAGTCCTTGCGCTTGCGAAGCAGCCACCAGAACCACTGAGCTAAATCCCCACACTCATTTTTCTTTGCTACCTTCACCATAGCAAGTGAAATTATTATATTTATCATTATTTTAATTCTTCCACAATATTAAAAAGTTTGGTTTGGGGCCAGAGATTTAGCTCAGTGGCAGCCATGCCTGCTTCACAAGTGTAAGGTCCTGAGTTTAATCCCTGGAGCAAAAAAAAAAAAGTTCAGTTTGGTTTGGTTTTGGTGTTTTGGTTTTTATACTGTGCTGGGGATCAAATCCAGGGCTCCATGCATGATAGGCAAGTGCTATACAACTGAGCTACATCCCAGCCCACATTTTAAAAGTTTGAAATCAGGGCCTATGGACCTGAAAGGCAGAGCACATATTTTAACCTGTGTAAGGCTTTGGGTTTGGTCCCTACCACCACACAAAAAGTTTTATCTTTTGAAATTTAGTGCCATCAGAGTGTTTCTACTTCATACTTTTTCTTCACAACCTTTTGTTTTTTGGGGTTTTTTTTGTTTTTTTTTTTGATACTGGGGATCGAACCCGGGTCCTTGTGCTTGTGAGGCAGGCAGTAGAACCACTGAGCTAAATTCCCAGCCCCTCAACCCTTTTAAGAATGCCCCAGTGTGGTGTGGTCCATGCCCATAATCCCAGCACCATGGGAGGCTGAGGCAGGAGGATTGCAGGTTTGAGCCTAACCTGGGCAATTTAGCAGCTTAGAAAGATTCTGTCTCAAAGTATAAAAAGCGTTGGTGTTGTAGCTCAGTGCCAAGGCCCTGAGTTCAGTCCCTAGTGCCTAAGGAGTGTGTGCATAAAAAGTATACTTTTCTATGGTAACAAGGATCAAGGCAGGTCCTGGAACATGCTAAGAAAGTTTCTAACACTGAGCTACACCCCCAGCTCTTTTAATTTATTTTTGCTTTTGTTTGTTTTTTGAGATGGGTCTTCCTGTGTAGTTTAGGCTCGTCTTGAACTAACTTTATAACCCAGGCTGGCTTCAAATTTGGGGTAATCCTGCTGTCTCAGCCTCCTATAGTGCTGGGACAATAGTTGTGTGCCACTACCTGTACTGTTTTTGAAGTTTTGTGATGGGGTCTTAATTATGACGGGCCTTGAAATTGCAGTCTTCCCCAGCCTCACCCTTTTAAATAGCTGGCATTACACTTGGTAAAGAAAAACATTCTTTTCTCGTTAACTGTACAAAAAAACAGCTATAGACTGGATTTTACCTGTGGGCCATACTTCATTGACCCATGGGCTGTACATGAAATGAAATGCTGCAGCTTTTAAAAGGAAGTAGAACTTTTTATTTAGTAGTGGGGTTATTCAAACCAGGTCCTAGCTGGGTGTGTTGGCGCATGTATGTAATCCCAGCCTTTGGGAGGCTAAGGCAGGGCTATCAGTGTGAGTTCAAGGCCAGCCTGAAGTACTGTACATAGTGCATCCTTGTGTGTGGGGTGTTTGTTGTTGTTGTTGTTGTTGCTGTTGGATGTCTTAATCAGAGTCTTGCTGTGTGGTTCAGACTGCCCTTGAATTCACTGTGTAGCCTAGGCTGGTCTTACTCATGTGATCTTTCTGCCTCAGCCTCTTCATTGCTGGGATTATAGGCATTGGCCACCATGCCCTTCAAGAACTCCCTGTTTTAAAAAAAGAAAAACCGGGGCGTTATACTGCCATGCTTCCCTCAGTGTACCATTGAGTTGCCATCTTTAGATCTCGTATGCATATATGGAATATTTCACATCTATGGACAACATAGTAGGAAATGTATAGTACAGTGTGTATTTACAGGCTTCGATTTACTTGTGAAGGAATAGAAGGTCTGTTTCTATCTGTATGCCTGTATATTTAAATAGAATATTTTCAGGATGCCCCGTGATGATACATAATGATGTGATTTTTTTCTTAGACAAGAACTGACTACCTGAGGAGCAAGGATACAGAGAGTAGCTTTACTCTGTGTTTAACTTCGTCTTAAGTAAATTATTTTTAAGTGGGTTTTTTTTTTTTTTTTTTTTTTTTTTTTTTTTTTTTTTTTTTTACTCTGC